CCTTCTGCATCTGTTGGATAGTGATACATCGATGACCTTCTGCATCTTTTAGAACTACAGATGCGTTTGTTGTTGATTGTCCGCTGCCCATTATTGACTGCGCGAATGATTTAAATTGTAATTACTGTGTAAGGTTTATTAGTGGAGTAATCATCAAAAACGATTTTTTTTATAAGTATCTACTTCCTTGCGAAACGTTAGTTTTTTCCTTAACTGCTTTTTGATGTTGCTATGAAGAACAAACATCGAAATAGTTCACGGAAAAGAGTGATTTTCTTTGTTTTCACAGAGAAAAACATTGTTAAGTAGTGTTTGTTATTTGAGAATCCACAAGCTGGGAAAAGCTTTTTTTTGTATGATCAAATATTTAATGAATTACACAAGTTTGACAACATGTTTGTTGATCACTAATTAGTGAATATGAAATTTAAGAGATATTTCAATTAGTTTTCGAGTGAAAGCCTACATGTGACCATGATATAGATGATAGAGACTTACGTTTTAAAAATTGTATTTGCCATTAACAAACAAAGAAAGACGTAATCATGCATGATTTTTCATCTTTCATAGATTATGGTGATTATAATATAATAATCCGTGATCTTTATATGAATATATGACTAGTTTGAAAATAACATACCAAATATAAGTAAATTAAAAACTACAGTCCAACGAAATAATTCCTTATAAAAACTAAACGATCGAAGAAAATGTCAATTTTTTTGCGATGATACAGTAATAAATGATATCCAATATAAAGCAAAAAAAGTGAAAACTTAGACATTTTGAAATAGAATAAAAAAGAGCAGTTCACAAGAACTTCAACAGATTTACTGACAAGAGAAATTATAATGAAGAATAATTTTCTTCTGAATAGTAAGTTTCAATTAGTTGTAAACTATATTCCTTGTCATTTTTCACAACGTTAACCTACACTAGAAATGATCTCATTATCCTTGACTAGAAATGTTCTATGTTAATGTTTATATTAAACTTAAGTGTATTTACTAAACAATTAGTTAACAAAATTTTACCAGTTAGAAATAAAAATATTCAAGAAAACGCATCATCATAGAGAACACGTGAATATATGTGAGATTTGTAACGATAGATAACTAGCTAAGCATACTAAAAGGGCTACTCACACATATGTAGTTTTGTGAGAAAACTAACAAAGTTTAATGAAAAACCATCTGTAAAATCCAATTAAAACAGCACCTAACGACAGTTTTGTGTTCATGTCAGAAATTATTTCGTTAAATGAATTTTTATTTTCGCATGGGTCAGTCATGTGAAGTGAGCCAAGATTAGCGTGAGCCAAACCTGTTAGCGATAACAAATGATACTAAAGTACCGCCAACTTACTTGATCACTGCTCGTTACCAAGCTTCCATATACTCCCTCCCCTCCCCCACCCTCTACTAGTGTCGTCGTAGTTTTCAACACTCCACGTTCTTTTTCGTTCTGCTGCTTTTCTCTCTCTCCATATATTTTTCCCCACTTTTTATTTCACTTCAGTATATTTGAACACAGTTCAGTTAATCTTTTGCTTCAATAAGTAGTACTTACTCTTCTCGTCTAGCTATCCCTATATCACTTCCTCTCTTCTACTATTATTTTTTCTCTTGTTATATTTATTCAGATAGATGAATAAACTACCTACATCATTAACCTCATCTTTTCCCACACTATTATCCCCATTCTTACCCATCATCGTTGGCCATCATCAGGTAAGATTGGTTTTTCTTTTTTTTTGCGCTGTATGCACATATACGATGAGACCTAACAAAAAGATTTTTTTTACAAAATGAAAACATGATAAACTTTTGAAAAGATTTTCATCGTTTTAGTAGTCTAGAAACAATAATCATCATAATCTTTACCCATTGTAGATGCTGATCTGTATATTTCTTTATGCCACACCCACCTTCACACTCACACCCGCATCCACAGATAAGGACGATAATATCGAAGATATGGCAATATTTTAATTTTCATTTACGGCAGCTTTAAATAAAGTAGATCGCGCACATGTATATGACGCACTGATTGCATATAGTAGTAAGTTAATATTTCTTTTTAATAAAATTCAATCTTTTATTGTTTTCTTCAACTTTTAGCCCGCTCAGCTACAGATATTCGAAATAATACGCCAGTTTATATTCGTACAATAGTCCATCCCGACTATATCTATCAGGTGAATGAAGAATCCTCCATTTGCTTCCACAACCAGGCCTCCTATTTATGCTTCCAAGCCTGGTTGCAACGAGAATACAATGGATGGCACCATGTACTATCAATCATTGAACCTGCCTCATGTGCCATGAATATTATTGTATAACGTGTTTTTTTTCTGTTTGTCAATAAAGTTATGAATATTTGTGATGACTAATATATTTCTTTGAAAGCTTAAAATGATATAAATTTAACTTCGAGCTAATCGATACATCTTAGTGATAATCATCATTTCATCGAGATATCTAACCATATTAACTGGACTTGTTAAATGGACTCTTTTAATATGTATTTTACTTGTAAATCTTTTTCTCATGAATCAACGGCTTGATATCTTTTCTCGTAAATTTTAATTGTCGAGATCATTCATAACTAAAGAATAAAATAATATCAGGGATCCCTGTCATTATCACATGTATTCACTTTTCTTCGAGAATGAAAATCGTACAATTCTATGTTACAGATATCAAACATATGGTCAGTTTTAAAGATTTATTTCAAAAGAAAAAAGATTGAAAGATAATATATAGAGTTGATTATATGAATATTAGTCATTTTTGAAAGATAATATTTAGAGTCCAGCTTTTTCCAGTCTTGCTAATTCGATTTTTTGATCAACATAAATCTAACAAATCAGAAAATAATGTCAAATAAAAGATACAATAGATATTCACATACTCTATTGAGGGCTTCTAGTAATTGATCAATTCTATCAGGAAAATTTTCAATTGGATCAAAATATTGCGAACGCATTCGGCAATCTCGTTCTTCTTGAATTTCTTCTTGATTTAATCTTTTCAGACCTAAAATATGAATAGAAAACCATGTTCTACTGAGATATATCAGTTTTGAGAGCGGATGGGAAAGTATTTTCCTCAGTCATACTTTCCTTCGCCCGTTGTGATATGTTTTGTTAGAAATAGAAAATAAACGAAAATTTTGTATTTCAATTGAACCTAATAATCTTCGAGTTTGTTTAGAAAAATGAAAACTCAATGCATCCATCTATCATTTAAAAAAGTAGTTCTGAAAATGAATGGCACACAAATGAAACTCTGAAGTCATCTAATCTAATTGACCTGAATAAATTATAAATCTACATACCTGTCCATCGTAAAAATTTCTTTAGCATAAATGATAACATAATTTGATCTTCTTTTTGATTGTCTTTCGCATGATGAAAACTATCAATAATTATTGAAAAAAACATACTTAAACAAACAAAAACAACTAGAAGCATAAATAAAATAAAACAGAATGGACCAAGAAAAGCATCAGCTCCATATATTTGTGATGCATCAAATTTCATTAATGTCATTTCAAAAAGCATTTGAGCAGTTGCTAATATACTTGAACAGGACGAAAGCTTTGATACAAATAATAAATAAAATAAACTAAGAAATGACATGAATACAATTGCAAACATTATTGAAAATGAAATCAGTGCCTTTGCACAATATTTTAATGTTTCAGCAAATAAAGATATTCGTTGATTAAAACGAAATAATTGAACAAATTTAATCATACTAAAAAAACAACAGTAACCGAGTAGAAATGTTAAAATATCATTAACATAAACTGCAAGTTGTAAATTGATATAAACATAACCATTTGTTTGTTCAAATAATTGACTTATACGGTTAGCTTCTTGAAAACGCCAAAAATAAACTCCAATACTCCCCAATGAACAACCAATGATGCCTAATTGAATTAATGACCAAAATCGATGAAAGTATTTTAGTCTTAATTCAAGTATTGATCGTATTTCAATGATCATAAAATAAATAATAAAAAATATATAGAAAATTGTACAAACTAATTGTAGTATTGATGTAAATGCTAAATTTAAAAAACAAAAATTTATTTATCTTTAGAAATAAAAAAATAAGGAGTAAATTACTGTATAAATTAATTGGTTCAAAACGAGATGTTGTATAAACACCACCTGTTGGTAAAAATTCAGCAAGTAAAGTAACTGCAGTTAATAATTGAACACTTGGATTATATAATGTTAGTTGAATAAAAACAGCTCTTGTTTTCTCATCAATCCAATCTAATTGATGAAGTTTAGATAAATTTGTTTTCATATCAGATAAACGACCACGAAATTCATAGACATAACCACCTCCTCTGTATGTTCCAAATTCTCCTACATATGCATATGTATCTAATTCATCACTCGTAGAATAGTTAAATGCTTTTATAATTGATGAGCTATATACTTCATCTTCTATTGTTTGATTTGTCCATCCTGGTTGAAATAATTGTGTTTCTTCATTAAAAAAACCATAACTATCTTTGCATATTGAAATAACACGTCGATCGGGACATAATTCTGATTTAATACGTAATTGTCTTATTGTTGCCCAACCGATTAATCGACTAGATTTATCATTTAAAAATCCACTTAAATATTGTGGAATATCTCCATTATACCATTCTTGTGCACGAATATTATCAACAAAACTATTTTCTATCCA